TAGAAACTAACCGCATGTCACTGAAAAAGCAAGGCTACATATCAAGGATTTCAAAAAAATCCCTACAATGACACCTCTGCAAAGGCAACGAAGAATAGATTTTTGTCAATGTTTTCAAGAAGATAATTTTAATAATGTCCTTATATCTGATGAAAGTTGTTTTCAGGTTGATGCAATTCATCTAAAAGTTCTATCAAGAGAAAATGTTACCGTTCAAATTTCCCACTAAAATAATGGTTTGGGAAGCAATGTCTCAGCGTGGTGCTACACTTCTCTGTATAGTAAACGGTACTGTTGATAGTGCGAAATATTGTGACATCCTAAATGATTTTCTTCTTGAAACGGCTCATTCTAGGTATCACTATTTCATACGATGGAACATTAGACAAAGCCTTAAGAGAGAGAAATACGTCCGGGAGAAAAACTATCACAATGCTAAACAGCATTTCATGGGACCAATCCATTAGCAAAGAAAATAAAAAAAGGATATATGGGACTATAGTAAAAAGTATCACTTTATACAGCTGTGAGGTATGGCCACTGAAAGAAAGAACATTGGCAACGCTGAAAGCGACGGAAATGTATTTTTGGAGATGAGCCGCAGGAAGATCTAGAACAGAAAGGATTACCAACGAACTCATTAGAGAAATAATGGGAATCAAACGAACAATCAGATGACCTAACAACAAAACAACTTGTCTGGTTCGGACACATACAAAGAATGGATGAACAACGAATATCAAAAGAAATATTAAAATGGCAACCAAAAGGAAAGAGAAAACGAGGTAGACCGAGAAAAAGTTGGAGCGAAGGAATAAATAAAGAACTGACTGAGAGAGAGAGGGCCATAGAAGAAGACCTATACCAACCGGACTAAGTGGCGATTGGAAGTCGGAAAACGGCGGAAAACGTTATAAACCAACAAGTAGTAGTAGTAGTTTAGTAAACAAAATAATTGAAAATTGTTTAAATAGAAGTGTTGCAAATAAAGAGTACATTTCGTTTCGACTAGAGTAAAAGAATTGTTATTTATAAACAATTTTTCCTAATACTCTTTGAAGAAATGCGTACAAGGATTGTCTTGGGTATATATAACTTTCACACTCTTTTTCACTAAGCAGTGTTTATTCTCTTCAAGTGATGTTGAAATGTTATCTCAAATATTCAAATGTTTGATACAGTTCGCCAAATATAGCTGAAAGTGTAAAAACGCGTGACGATCATGATGCGCATTCGTCAAACTCGAGCGATCACTCGCACTGACGGTCCAGACCGTTTGTATGTGCGTTTTCACTTCATTGTTAGCGCAGGCAATGGAAATTTCACACTTTCAGCTATATTTGGTGAACTGTACTGTTTAACATGGATGGACGGGACATTTAAATAATACCCAGTTTGTACTGGAATCAGAGAGCTGGCATTATTTCACCTATAAGAAAAAGTTCTCCTACGTTAATTGGATAGGGTTATTCTAAAAGGAACCAAGCGACAAATTTGAGAATTTGTATTGGGAAATTACCATCAACCGATTTTTACTTTAAAATTATAGTTAACTAGTTTGCCGAAAACTAACCAACTGCCAAATTATTTTATTATTATATACGTCCATGGCCAAAACTGTTTCAAAGATTTTTTATATGTCGCTTGGTTTTATTTCAATTTTTATAGATTTCGAGCAGGTGCTACTTTCTGGAAACAATTATTATTATTGTACCTTGTTACTCCAAAAATACAGTAGAACTGTAGGTCCCTAGCATTTCCTATATAAGTAATGATAAAAAGTCGTGAATAATTCGAATTATATTTTGGATAATTCGAACTTTTCTACAAGTTAAAAATGCCAATTTCATGCTGGAAATTTCCGCGAAAAGAGGTTGTATTCTAACGTGCCACTTGTATTCAAGGCATTCAAGGCCATTGTACATTGTACCCGTACCTGGCACCTAAATTCTACCCCACCCGGTACGCCCCTTCAGTTGAGATGCGTTGGCGTTGCAATTGCAAACATCGCAAATCACGTCAGTAAGTCACTTCGTATTGAGCAAAGATGTCGTTGCATGGTAAACTTCGCACATACAAAACAGACGTTATCGGAAAAAATAGCGGCAATTAAAGAAGTAGAAAAGGGGACGAAGAAAAAATCTGAGATTTCCAGGGACATTGGAATTCCTCCTAAGCAATTATCTACCTACTTAAAGGATAAATAAAAAATTCTCAACAGTGAAAGTGAGTGCGATAAAGATCGAAAAAGGTTAAGGGAGCCAGAAAAATTCAAATTTAGATAGTTGTGTGTTAAAATGGTTCAAACAAGCTAGGGATAAAAAGATTCTCGTGAGTGGTTCCCTTATAAGAAGCAAAACTGACCAATTTGCTATTGAAATGGGAAAAAACAAGTTTAAGGCGAGTACAGGGTGGCTCGACGGCTTCAAAGAACGCAACAAAATTTCATTTGTGGAGAAAGTGGGACCGTTAATCGGCAAGAAGCCAACCAATGGAAAAAAAATTGGAGAAGTCGCTATCCGCGTTGTTTTAAGAACGTCAAGTCAAAACCAGTGGATGACTAGTGATCTTTTCAAGAACTGGCTGAAAAAATTAGAGAAAAAGTTCATAACAGAAAAAATAAATTTGAAAATTAAGGCAAATATCGAGCACAAGTTTAATCAAATCTTGCCCAAGTACTTTTGCTATCTACAGAATCATCAGGGGCATTTCGTCAAATTTGGCCTATTTATTTAAAAACAGTTTAAAATTATTATAATGCTCTACATTCTTGTCGGCAATCGGAGAGATAATCATTCTCTTTCCGATTGCCGACAAGAATGTAGAGCGTTAGAATAACTTTAAACTGTTTGTCCTTTTGTTAATGTAGTGTTATGTACAATTTATGTCCACTCTCATGTGTATTACATTCTACGCTTGCTGGATAGCCCAAATTTGACGAAATGTCCCTGATGATGCTGTAGATAGCGAAAGTACTTGGGCAAGATTTGATTAAACTTGTGCTCGATATTTGCCTTAATTTTTCAAAGTTCATTTATTCGAGTATTCAACCTCATATCATAGAAAAAAGAAAGTTATCTTGTTTATTGACAACTGTACACACACCACTATCCCACTGATAGAAATGTCAAAGTTATTTTTTTTCCTGCTAATATGACTTCAGTTCTCCAGCTTATGTACCAGGGTGCCATAAAATTTTTAACATTTTTACAGACGTTTTTTGGTTGAAAACGTATTGACGGAAAATTGTGACACCCTTTTTAAAGTTAGACATTCTACAAGCATCTCGAATGTGTAAGAAAGCTTGGGACCAAGTAACACCCGAAACTGTCAAACACTGTTTTAAAAGAGCTGGTTTTATAAAAAGGAGGAGAACGCAGACGACACTGTAACAGAAGAGCTGCTTTCAGTTGACTGCTGGGGGACATCATTTCTGATCCTGCCATCTCTTATGAAGATTTTGTCAACGTGGATGAAGATGTTGCAGTATGTGGTGAAATAACTGATGCAGAGATCATCGCTGAAGTGCTTAAGGACAATGATGAAAAACAAGAAAGTGATGAAGACGACGCGTCATCAGTTGGGGGACAAATACATGTTCCGAGTGCGGCCGAAGCAACGAACCATATTACCAAAGAATATAGACGCTTAAACGTATTAAGCTTAAGCGTCTATATTCTTTGATATTATGCAACATAAACGGTACTTTGAAAGTAAAAATGATGTAAGTCACTCTAGTTTTAGTTCACTGAACATCTTAGAATCTTTTGTCATTACCAAGAAGTTAAATTCTAAAAAGCAGCTAAACATTTCGGATTTCTTTGAAAGAAATTAGTGTATTTTCATTAATTGTAACAAATATGTATTCTTATTTTCAATAAATTTTTTGAGACAAAATGTTTTATTGTTTTAATCATGCGTTCTCACTGGGCATTTTTTATTGGCCGATTGTTTCGGCCAAGTTTTGGCCAAAAATACCAATGAGAAAACCTGCAAATGATAAAAATCGACAATAATTGACCATTTTTTATAGCTTGCAAATGTTTTGATTGGTAATCTGGCCGAATTTTGTTGACCCATTTTTTTCGGTTGACAAAATTTGGGCAAAAATAGGAACGAAAACATCTGCAAGCGATAAAAATGGTAACTATTGGTGATTTTTATCATATATATATATATATATATATATATATATATATATATATATATTGTATATATATATATGTAATATTATTATGTTTTTGTAGGCATCTTTGTTTTTTGTGGATATATATACCTATGTATTTCTAATAATAATTTTTAATTTAAGCACAAGTTCAAAAATGTTGTCCCCAGCTTTACAAAAGGTTAGAAACAGTAGAAAAATAATGCTATATATAAAAAATAATAATTTTAATAAATCTGTGACATTTTTAGAATTTAGCGTTAGACATTGTTCTGATCCGTAAGCAGTAATATTCACTTTGAAAAATAAACCAACTATCATTATTTTTTGTCTCCTAGTTCCTTTTAGTTTAGACAAACATAAAAGAAGAATATTTTTTTAAAAGGAACCAAGCGACAAAAAATAATGGGGTTTCGTTCGTGTCAAAGTAGATATACCTGGGTTAGTGTAATATACCTAAATAGATTTATTTAACTGATTTTTATACTTATTCCATTATTTTCTACTGTTTCTAACATACAATCAACTTGAAAAGCAACACTATTCTAAACAAATTTTAGATTCGGTTTAATGTTGGGGAATGCTCACATACTTTACCAGTTTCAGCAATTATATCATCGGTAATCCAGATAGAAGCGAGCTGGTCGATAACATAACGGATAATGTCGATGTGACGCCTCAAGTTGTAAATGTAAGTAGCTTTGACAATTTTATCACTGTTAATCCAGATGGAATAACAAATAAGGGTAGTGAGAATCAACAAGATACTCATTTGTTAAAGGGATACTAGGGATAATTTAAATAACAACTATTTTCTACTTCGGATATACCGTATCTAACAAATAATACTTATATTACCTATCAAAGCTACAGGGTTATCCCAACTACCATTCTTGAATTTCGAAATTTCTTCATCATATTTGTAACTTAAACATTTATTACCAAAAAAAAATAGATTAATAAATGCTAAACGGTTGATTTCAGGCCCCATTGATTCATCTAACAGCATGCGACACAAAAAATCTGGTGCTGGACTTTTCGTTATTTTTAGATAATTTTCATTGTACTGAATCACGATAGCAAACGCCTCAATTAATTTTATGAAAAAATTGTTCATATCCAAAGAATTATTAACGTTCTCTGATATATCCTCACACAAATTGAATAGTTTGTTAAGACGTTTTTGGCCAACTGCAGTGTGCAAATGAACTTCAACTTGGTCAATACTTTGCTTTAATATAGTAGAACACCTTTCGTTACTGGCTCGTAAAGAATCTTCTACATCCTCGAAATATTCTGAAATAAATAAAATAAAAAAAATGATAAATGCATTTATATTATTAATATAAGAGGATCATTTTTTGCAATTCTTAAAATTATTGTTTTTTAAAAACCATGTAGTTGATATCATCTTGATGTTTTGTAAATATTACTTGGTCATTTGCAAAATGCAAGCTAGAAGTTTATGCTCTTTAATTTTAATACCCATAGGTTGACATTTTCTGTATCAAATATTCAAAACTCCCTCCAAATAAATCTTAAAGAGCGTAGGTGCAATGCCTTGACGAACTCGTTTGGTTACCTTTAGCTTTTTGTCACTTTTGTCCAATCTTTATTGGGTGGCAAAAAAGCTGACAAAAGTAAAAATAATAATTAATTTTTGGCGAGGGGATGTGTAGGTTTGTTTAAAATATTTATTCCCTTGAAAAAATTATGACGCTTTAAGTAAATTATAGGCCAAAATCAATAAAATCTTGAGAGTTTATGTGATATTAATACTTAAATGAAGTAGTTTAAGAAAGAAAACATGCTTGTTTATGGAAAAATATAAGTACTCTAACACCAAATATTATTTATTGCGAAAAGAGAACTTTTAAGTACACACCCTTATAGGAAAAGAGTTGTTAACCACAATAAAAACAGCCAAAATCGAATACCCCGGTCACATCATAAGGAACAGCGAAATGTATAGTGTTCTGCAATTAATTCTACAAGGAAAAGTAGAAGAAAAACAAGGAACAGGAAGGAGAAGGATTTTCTGGCTGAAAAATCTACGTAGATGCTTCAACACAACAACTACAAATATTTTCAGAGTAGCAGTTTGCAAAATACAGATTGCTATGATGATCACCAATATCCGAAACGGATAGGCACAACAACAAGAAGAAGATACTGTTTCCAATCCTTTGTTGCCAACCATTCATTATACATATCCTTTTCGATCGACATTTATACCTATACCCAAGAAAAATAAAGCAAATAGATGCTCACAGTTCCGATTAATTAGCCTGATGAGCCATTTTCTGAAATTTTTACTCAAAATTGTACATCAACGAATATACAGAGAATGCGAAAGAAACCTGAGTGAGAATCAATTTGGATTTCGTATGGGGCTTGGTACAAGGGAGGCATTATTTGGCCTCCAGATATTACTACAAAAATGCCGAGATCAGCGAAAAGACGTGTTTCCTCTGTTTTATCGACTACGAAAAAGCGTTTGATCGAGTAAAACACACAGAACTCATAGAAACCCTAACACAACATGGAATAGACCATAACACTGTAGCACTTATTAAAAAACTATATTGGGATCAAATAGCGTCGATCAAAATAGACAATAGTCTGACAGCAGAATTGCCAATAAAAAGAGGAGTTCGTCAGGGCTGTGTACTTTATCCACTGTTATTTAATATATATTCCGAAAAGATCTTTCAAAATGCCCTCGAAAATATTGAAGAAGGAATAAAAACCAACGGAGAATACGTAAACTACTTAAGATACGCAGATGACACCGTCATTATTGCGAACAGTGCTGAGGGTTTACAACGACTTTTGAATGCCATAACCAGAGAGGAAGATAGCTTGGGACTGAATATAAACACAAATAAAACAAAACTAATGGCTGTCACACGTGCACCAAATGTCAACATTTATATCTATAACAAACAATATTCGTATCTATAACAAACATATAGGGTGACCGCACACAGAAAAAGCAAAACTGTTTTAGTCAAAAACGTTTTTGTTTGAAACGAAAACGTTTTTGTTTCCAAAAGAAACATTTTGTTTTCAAGAGAAACAAAATGTTTGCACAAACCATACTGAAATCAGTTTTATTAAAGATGTCGACAGATAACGACGAAATTGCACTAGTTTTCTGGCAGTGGTTCCTCCTACAGGACGAAAAAACGCAAAATAAAAGACAATTTTGGGTGAATCCTATAAATAAGAAAAGAACTGCTGAAAAAACTCTCCAGTCTTTGTGATTCAAATTTTGATTGTGATGATCTTTTAATTGATAGTTATATAAGGGGTCTGGCCTCAATCAGTACAATTAATTTTTCTGCGTCCACTTCCATGATACACACAATATAAACAAGCAAAATATCGTTGTTTCCACATGTGCTTCTTGTTGACTACGCGAGCGGTTTCAAGAAGGGGATTCCAAAAACATGTTGTGTCTGCGTACATTGAAATGTTTCGACACAAAACGACGATCCGGTAATCAACATCAAACAGACTGACTAAAACTAAATGAGCCTAAACATGATTTAGACACACGACTAATCAGTGTGCGTCAGCTCATTTCATTTATATGGAAACATCAGCATCAGACTCGTTTAGTCAAAAACGGTTTTGACTAAAACAGTTTTGCTCTTTCTGTGTGCGGCCACCCATAGAACCAGTTCAAAGATTCCAGTATCTTAGTTGCTAGATAACAAACGATCTTGACCACGAGGTAGAAAAATACGTGCTAGTATAAAATATGCTAGGTCGGCATTTCAACGAATGAAAAAATTACTAATAAACTCTACGTTATCGTTGGATATCTGATATCAATTTGTAAAAACGTTTATTTATTCCATATTGCTATACGGAGTGGAAACATTGCCTTTGAGATGTGGGTTTTTCGAAGGATGCTGAAGATCTCTTGGACAGAGCACGTGTCCAACAACGAGGTGCTAAAAAGAATGGGTACTGAGAGAGAACTCCTATATATTGTAAAAAACAGAAAAACAAGTTATCTAGGTCATATTTACGGAGGAGAAAAATACAACTTCCTGCGACTTATAATGGAAGGGAAAGTCGAAGGAAGAAGAGGTCCAAGAAGAAGTAAATGTTCCTGGTTGAAGAATGCAAGAAACTGGACAGGTATGGACACACATTCGATACTAAGAACAGCTCAAGATAAAAAGAAATTTGCTGTAGTTATAGCTAACCTTCAGTAATGGAGAAGGCACCTTAAGAAGATCCTTTTTCTTCCCCACAGGATCTTCTATTTCTTTATGTCACTATTTATTTCTAATCTTTATACAAAACATTTTTACATATTTACATTTTTATACAACAAAACATAAAAATAATAAAAAAATATACTTTTTTTTCATAGCAAATAGCAAATAGCAAAATAAAAAAACATACATTAAAGTTAATATAAATTTTAGTATTATTATTTCATTTGGAACTTTCTCTTCATAAAGTACGTACGTACTGGATGAAAGAAACATATATACGAAATAGGTTTTTATGGTTACGTATTCTCAGTCAAAGATAATCCATAGTTCAGCAAAGGGCTATAATCATCCCCAATCCACCTTAGTTATCCTCAGACTAGT